TTAATTACGCATGTGCTCAAGTTCTAATCATGGTTCTAGGCAGGGATTTATAATGGTTGAATTAATAATCGGATAGCACTGCTCACTTACTCTGCGTCATTACTGAGAAATTGTGTTCCCCAGATTACCTGTTGATAAAACAGATAATATGCATCTACCTCTCAGAGTTTCTTAGGTTTTCTGCTTATTAAATCAAGTGCTAGGTATCTATTAAAATGGTTTGGAAACTAAAGTGAAAACTCATAGACTGTGCCTTGGAGATACCATGTGTTTTTGCATTGGTGTCTTGGGGAGGTGTACGAAGTACCCCAAACCTCTAATTATCCTTGTTCTCAGTTTGTAATCTGCCAGGCAGCCTCAGTGTGCGGAGACACTCCTGTCATTATTGATGTTTTTCTGTAGGTGATGATTGGTTTGACTTAACACGTCTCTGAATGCTGCGGACTTGAGAGTGTCAAAAGAAAACTGTCTTTCTTCATAGTTTCCAGCTGTCGCAACCAGGGGCCTTCCAGGGGCCTGGGTTGTAGTGTGACCCCTGGGGCCCTGGGGATTTTACTGTAGTTCCTCAGTCTAGAACTTACTGCTTCCTCCCTGAGGTTTATGCAAACCCCTCTCACCTTGCAGCCTATAGGAGGCTGCTTTGACTTCTTCATTTCATACACGTTTTTCTTTATTGTGTGGAAGTGCTCCTCTGTGGGTATACAGCTTTGTTTTGTTTTTTAAAGCGTAGGACTTCGGGCTGATCAAAAGAAAAATACAGTAAATAAAATAGTTTCTAGAAGTGGTAAAACTGTAAAAATTTCTACTTAGAGGCTGTATAGTAAATATCTCAGGTAGTGATTTAGAATCCTTTCAGTGGGCCTGGTAGACATTGAGATGGAGTAGACTTGTATGCCTTGAAGAAATCTGAGTCCAGGAGAGCAGAGGCCCCTGCAGTGTCTTAACAGAAATAAATACGTTATCAAGGTCAGGCAAAACTCCACATAACTAGTTATTTTTAACACGGGTATGACTTTTCATGCCTGCCTGATGACTCACAGAAGACAGTTTTATGGATCAGATATTGCGCTGGCCCTCAGGCAGTTTTGATCAAATTCTATGATAGGGTGTGATGATAAATTATAGATGAAAAGAGAGAAAAAAGTTGTTTACTATTCATCCTCTGGAGTTTGGAGAAGTATGAACTGTCTTAATTACAGTGAGAGGCTTCGTTCGAAGCACTTAGGCTGTTTTTAACTGTTAAAAACAATGAGACAAATCAATGTGGTATCAAGGGACTTGTACCCAGCACCCCTGAACCCAGAGTCTGGCCTAGCCGCTTTCCCACCTCGAGTCCTTAGGCACATCGATGTCCTCGTCTGTGAAATGGAGCTGGCGTTGTGACGATCAAATGAAATAATACTATATTTTATCAAATCTCAGATATGACTGATAATGACACACCCTTATTTTTGTGCCATTAAGAAAGAAGAGGGCTTCCCTGGTGGCGCAGTGGTTGAGAGTCCGCCTGCCGATGCAGGGGACACGGGTTCATGCCCCGGTCCAGGAAGATCCCACATGCCGTGGAGCGTCTGGGCCCGTGAGCCATGGCCGCTGAGCCTGCGCATCCGGAGCCTGTGCTCTGCAACGGGAGAGGCCACAACAGTGAGAGGCCCACATACCACAAAAAAAAAAAAAAAAAAAGAAAGAAAGAAGAAATGCTGCCAATGAAAACAGCTTTCTTTCAAGTGTAAGATAGCCCTGAAATTTAGAGATCTTAAAATGCAGTGGGCACACCTCATCTTAAAAATCGGTAAAATAGGGCTTCCCTGGTGGCGCAGTGGTTGAGAGTCCGCCTGCCGATGCAGGGGACACGGGTTCGTGCCCCAGTCCGGGAGGATCCCACATGCCGCGGAGCGGCTGGGCCCGTGAGCCGTGGCCGCTGGGCCAGCGTGTCCGGAGCCTGTGCTCCGCAACGGGAGAGGCCACAGCAGTGAGAAGCCCGCGTACCGCAAAAAAAAAAAAAAAAAATCGGTAAAATAGGACTTCCCTGGTGGTACAGTGGTTAAGAATCCGCCTGCCGATGCAGGGGACACGGGTTCGATCCCTGGTCCGGGAAGATCCCACATGCCGCGGAGCAGCTAAGCCTGTGCACCACAACTACTGAACCTGTGTTCTAGAGCCGGGAACCTAGCTACTGAGCCTGCGTGCCTTGAGCCCAGACTCTGCAACAAAGAGTAGCCCCCATTCTCCGCAAGTAGAGAAAGCCCGTGCGCAGCAACGAAGGCCCGATGTGGCCAAAAATAAACAAATAAATAAATAAGTAAATAAATTTATTTTTAAAAATCAGTAAAATACAGTGTATATGAAAGTGCTTTGCCACATAAGCCTCAGGAGTCGTATTTAATCCTTATTATATGAGTCAGGGGGAGTGAAACAGAGTTATAAGAAAATACCAGTGGGCAGCACAGGCCGAGCTGAGTATTGGTTCTAGAAGGTCGGCTCTCAGTGGCTCAGGCTCCTTGCTTTGCTTAGTTTTCCAGATGGACACCGGTGTCCCTAGTTAGGGAATTCTGCGTTCTTCTGTGTTCATGTGTGGATTTCCCTCTGTGTTTGATTTTGTGGGTTTAGAGCTTGCAGGTGTTTGACGACCTTTGGTCAATGGCATTATTTTTAAGAAGGAAGGCTGCAGCGGAGTCCGAGCCCCCTCATGACAAAGCAGGTTCCAGCAGTGCTCATTCTCAGATAGACTTGTGTTATTG